AGAGAAGAGAAGAGAAGAGAAGAGAAGAGAAGAGAAGAGAAGAGAAGAGAAGAGAAGAGAAGAGAAGAGAAGAGAAGAGAAGAGAAGAGAAGAGGCTGTTCCCCACAGCTGCCCCTATCAGCCACAGCTCTGCTGAATGCCTCAGGATGGGTTCTGTAGGAGTTTTAGGTGTTCTTGTTCAAAAGAGAGACTGAAATCAAAGGAAAGGGGAAGTATGAAGTATGACGTATGACCTATGAGCTCTGCTCATGGTGAGGTTAGGAGCGCTTCTGGAACGTTCTGAGCAGTGCTGCAGTGGGCGCTGATGGACGCCGAGGGCTCATCAGGAGCTGCTTGGGCTGCTCTTTCAAGATGCAAAGGTATGTTTTATGCTCTAATCTTGCCTCAGGGTAAGCATTTTTTTTGTGTGTGGAGGTATTTTCTGTGCTAGCTGTTGGGGCTCTACAGGAGATGCACCTTTCTGAAGTGTTTTCTTCCTTCAGGGAGCTGGGCTTTGTGTGGCCTGTGGGGAGGTCAGCAGTGCCTTGTGTGAATGGGCCGTTCCCCTTGGGAAAACAGCACCCTGATGATGATGAAAAATGCCTGTTCCTCAGGCTTCCAAGTCAAATCTTTCTGCTTTAAGTATATGTGCACTGTAGGAAATAGTGTAGTGAGTGACCCTGAGGAGTGCAGCTGACTACTGCCTGTATATGTGTGTATATATATTTCATTTAGCTGATGAACTGATGATTTAATTCACCAAGATCTCTTCAGCCCAGGAAGTATGAACTGTATCCAGGCATGGGAGTTAACCCAGAGTGTATGAGGTAACATAATGGTTTATTTAATCCTGAGTTGGGGGTACCTGGGGGCCCTTGCTGCGTTTCTCCATATGCAAAGAGCAGCTTTGAGTCTGCGTAGCATTTACTTTAGTTTGAGTGAAACAAGAATAAATATAGCAACAGAAGTAAAATCTTTATTAGAGAGCAGGTGTGCTGATCTCCTCTTTAACATGCTGCATTAATTTGGCCTGCAGCAATTGCAGCTGCCTCTACTGAAGTGAGGGACCTTGGAAGTACAGGGATGTGTGAGCAAGAAGGCAACCTCTGTGGTGTGCGTTGGTGGTTTAGGTGCAGCCCTTCTTTTGGAGGGGCTGCCAAATGGCTGTACTTGGGCTACCTGGCTGCAATACCTGGAAAAGCAAAGCTCTCATGGTAAGCTGTGCACAGCTCAGTGTCTCCTCGTGTGTCTGCTGCTGCCAGTGCTGCTGTGATGATGATTCGTGTTCTGTGCCGAGAGCCTCTGAGCAAACCGAGCTTAGGAAATGTATGTCTGAACACCCACATGTCTACGGTGGGACAATTCCATTATTTGCTGTCCTGAGGATGTTGTCTAATGCTGCAGTTCCCTATTTCTGATTTTTAGAAAATGGAAATCAGTGGAAGGCAGCATAAGAGCTTAATGCTGTTGAGTAGAGCAACACCAGTCGTTCTTTCAGGGAGAAGAGAGTGGTGGAAAAGTCTCTTCCCTTCTGATTGTAACTGAAGTTACCACACTAACAGGTCACTTTTAGTAAGATGGAGACAAATATGCAGAGGGGCTTTCAGCTCTTCTGCTAGTACTAAGTAATTAGAGCAGTAACGAGCTGCAGGATGAGGTTATTTTGAAAGCTCAAAGACTGGGTAGGTGTGAATGCTGTTACTTAAAGCAGAGCAGATGACTACTATCAGAAAGGGAGTAGAGCTTGTTTGCAGGCTCCTGAGCAAAGGCGATAGGAGCAGAGAAAAGTTCAGCCATCGCAGACTTGTAAGAAGTTGCCCTTGACTGCTTACAGGCATAATTCTAATTTAAATGTAATAAAAACCTACAAGGGGAAATTAAGCTGTGGAAAGCAGTTTAAAAGTCAGTCTGAAGACATCTGCAAAATGGTTTTATTCCAAGCAAGTATAAGAAAACTGTTTAGTTTTTATTATTGTCAAACAGTAATAGTGCTTTCATTTATCTGATGCCTTTTACAACCAAACCCTTCTCATAGATTATTTCCAAAACAACACGAAGGCTGATTTATTTTTAAACCCTGAGCTCATAACCCTTTTCTTCCCAGTAACGCAGCATCTCTTCATCGCAGCAGGGAGCTGAGCACAAGGTTATGTGATAAGCAGAGGGGCTGCTCATTTGGGTTAAAGGAGAACCAGGAACTCCGATTCTTCTGCAGGTTGCTTTGCATCCTTTGTGCGTCCATTTGTGCTTCCATTCCAGCTTTTGGGCAGTTCCCAGTATGCCCATGTGCTGATGGATGTGCCTGAGGCACTTGTACCTCTTCCTATTACAGTCATTTTAGAATAGAAAGGTTCTGAGGAGATCTGTGGGTTTGACTTCATTTGGTTTCCTTAGCAGGCCCAAGATGGAATCATCTGCTTGCATCTCCTGTGCTGGGGATGAAAATAGAGGTGTTGATTTCTCATACGTATATCCTATAAAAATCTCACTGCTTTCTATAGAAGATAAATAGTTCTGTGCCACAGGTCACACATCCCAAGCCTGTTGCCTGAGGATCTGACAGTACTCTGGAAGACTCACAGCATAATCTATAGATCCTTATGGAGATGGGGGAGATTGGGGCACGTGAGCTCTCAGCTGTGCACAGGTGAATCTCTTTGACTTTTAGCTGGAATTCTGAGGCTTTTTGCCACAGTCCTGCAGAATATGAAAGATTCTGTGTGTAGCTTAAAATGGCCACCTCTCTAATGATTTGGGTTTCTGTCTTCTGCGGCAGGAGGTCAGGCTGCCTTGACTTTCAGTTCAGTTTTAGAAATGTAGATGGGCATGAGGCTCTTGGTATGGGAAGGAAAGAAAGAAGCATGAGATGCTTGTGGGAGATAAGTAGAAAACTTCATGTAAGATGTGATGATGGCATCAGAGCCCTATCTTAGTTGGATCCTCACTGCACCGGGTGTTGGACGTGCAGAGTGAGAGTCAGCCTGAACACCTGGAAAACTGTCAAAGGAGGAAGACTGAGCCACAGTCACTCGGGAGGTTTGGTGGTCATGTCTTCCAGCCCAGAAAACAGGCAAATCATTTTCCCTCTCTGTGGTGGCCTTGCAGACAAATGGAGGCACAGAGTGTGTGGGGAGAGCGATCTTGAGACGTGGCATCACATCGTGCAAAGGAAAAGGCAGTCCAGAGCTGCTCATTTTGGATTGAGAGAATGTATTTAGATGTGTAAGCTGCCAATTTTTCTTAAGTACCTGTTTTAATCCCTTGGTTACCCATTTTTGTCTCTGGTTCCCCGTGGAGCAAGTGGCTGGACAGCCAGTATTTGGTGTCAGAAGAGGAAGACAGTGGCAGAAGTGAAATCTAGAAGCCCCAGGAGTCCTGACTTCAAGCTTAGTGCTTGAAAGGCAGGAATTAAATCTTTGGTTGAGGAACTTGATGCCTACAGCCAATTAATAACTGCTATAAAATAGTGCTTTATTCAAAAAATGCTGACAGTGAATTTAATGCACCTTATGGATGGTGGGGGGAGGGATGGGTGGGTGTTACAGCTTAATTAATTAAGTTTTGGAAAGACTGTAATCCTTGGACAAAGGGCTCTGTAAATGTAATATGTAACCACTGCTGCTAAAGCAAAGTTTTGGTTCCCTGCAGACTGAGGTGCTTTAAAAGAGAATCGCTGCGCTGATTCCTGTTGGAAAAAGGAAGGGCTGGGAACTTGGCTCATGGTGTGGCTGTGCTTGAAGTGGAATTTTTGGAGATCCCTACCTGGAGGGTTGTGAGATGTGGGCTTCTCAGCTTCTCTTGCCTGCTGCTCGGGAGCTGGTGTGTGTTTGTCTTAATTACATTAACAGCAGGGACTGGAGTTTTTCAGT